CTTTAAAAGTGGGTTATTCTACATAAATCACTTTTAATCAAGTTTTATACATAAACCACGTTTGAATGGATTTTCTTGCTATCAACCACATTAACTCACTTTTAATCAAGTTTTTTCAGTTTTGCTATTGTTATGATATTCCCACTCGCCAAAATGCAAATCCTTGCAGAACGACGGATGGATGAATTTTTGTGAGCTAGGTCACAATCAGCTTGGTGACCCAAGCCCAGCATAGGTCCCCTCTTAGCCGACTTGCCGAATCAATGTTCTCCATGTCGACTCGAGAGGCGGGACCAGTCGACCCTCTTGTCCGCCACGAGTCCATTCGACCATTTACTCGATGACTTGTGAAGACGACTCAATGGGCTTTCCCTCTCGGGCAAGATGAAGGATGGTATCTATCTCAAGTCTCTTCCCCTGGCTACGTGTCCGCACCACGGTCAGCACCGGTCAGATGCCATCATGACCCTAGCTCTAAGAGCCTACATGACTTGTCATACCACCTGGGCTCTGCCACGCCACCAATCACTTCCCGGATAATGCGAAGAAGTTCTCTCCCATACCGAAGTGATCTTCCCTCCAGTCGACAGCCGATATCTGTAAAGCATAGGCTGACTCAGCTGCCAGCTCACACTTCGCCACCGTCCTTCTTTGCTCAGACGAAGTAACAAAACTACCCTTTATGCATTGAGTATAAATGCATGTACTATTATAACCCCACACGGGGGGCTTCTTTTTCTTTTTTCAGAGGTCTCTACATCTGCAAAATACATTGCACACAAGAACTCACGCAGTTCTTCACTTTCCCCACACAAGCTCACCAGCTGACTTAATCGTCGGAGGAACTATGGGGTAATCGGTCCCCGCCCTCCCACAAGATTCTTCTTGTGTAAATTTTTCAGTTTCCTAATTCAAGAACCAGATATAAAGTCGAAGAAGGAATCAGCCCCCTCATCAATCTTCACTACCTCATCCTAATGAGGGCATGAGCGGAAACGATCCTATCCTGGATCCAACTGACTGTGTGATCATAACCATCAACAATTTAGTGCCTACCGTGGGGCCCTCTTCTCTTTTTTGAGAAGACATGTCAAGCTCTGGACAAGGGTCTGATCAATCTCACCTTGCAGAACAACATCGAAGTTGTGATACCAAGCTAAACGAAGTTCGGAGTTGTATCACCCAAGCTAAGAAGGCATGGTTTTGGTTGAGAAGAAACGACATACTCGTACTTCTCCATTGCCATAGCAACCATTTTGGGAGTATATTTATTAGCTAGCCATCTATAAGATGGGCGAACTCCCATTATCCTTCAAAGCCTCTTCATAGAGAGCTTTTTAGTTGTCTTCCTAAAGAACAACTTAGACTTCTGGAATATCTTTCTCAGAAAGAATTCCATCACCAAAGTTGTCTGGTGTCCTCTGGTCGTACCACATTACCTACCAAGACTCCACCAGAGAAACGCCATTCAAGTTAACTTATGGCGCCGAAGCGGTTATTCCTGTCGAAATCAGCATGTCAATCATCTAGCTACAACACTCCAATGAGACCTTGAACCTCAAATTAGCCTCAATCTCCTTGACAAGGCCGAAGAACAAGCACTATGGACCCCGGTCATCAATCAACAATGAGTCGCCCGCTACTATAATAACAAAACCCAACCGAGGAGACTCAGTGCTGGCGGTCTCGCCCGTCGTAATGTTGCTCTGGACAAAGGCACTCGGAGAGACAAACTAGCTCCCAATTGAAAAAGCCCCTATGTAGTCCTAGAAGAGCTGTGAGCCAGCACTTATCGACTAAGGGCCCCAGACGGGAGAATCCTCCAGCATCCCTGGAATGTTGAACACTTGTGGCATTGTTCTCAGTAACCTGGTCAGTCATGCCCCTTTCAGTCTCAGTATAAATTTTTTCTAATATCAATAAAATTGTTATTGAGACGGACTTTATTCCTGTGTAACACTCTATAGTGCCTAACTTACATGGAAATCAAAATCCCTTGGTACCTTTTTAGGAATAAACCCAAGGCACCAACCATATGGTCGACTCCCACAATCGTCTTTCAACCATCATGGGAACCTCGAAGACCTAGACGTCTACGTAAGACCTAGGCACCCAACCTCAGGGTTGTCACTTTACTTATTTTCCCTTAGGGCGGCCCTCCATAGGGAAAAAGACCTAGTCAACTTCTATAAGTTCTAAGCATTTGACTCCATGGTTGAATTCTAAGCCCTTGGTACCTTTTCAGGAATAAATTCAAGGCACCAACCAAATGATCGACTCCCACAGCCATCTTTCGACCATCATGGGAACCTCAAAGACCTAGGCGTCTACGTAAGACCTAGACACCCAACCTTAGGGTTGTCACTTTACCTATTTGTCCTCAGGACAGCCCTCCGTAGGGCAAAAGACCTAACCAACTTCTGTAAGTTCTAGGCATTCGACCCCAGGGTTAAATTCTAAGTCATTTGTACCTTTTCAGGAATAAACCAAGGCACCAACCATATGGTTGACTCCTACAATCGTCTTTTGACCATCATGGGAACCTCGAAAACCTAAGGGTCTACGTAAGACCTAGGCACTCAACCTTAGGGTTGTCACTTTACCTACTTCCCTCAGGGCGACCCTCCATAGGGCAAAAGACCTAGTCAACTTCTATAAGTTCTAGGAATTCGACCCAGGGTTGAATTCTAAGCCCTTGGTAGCTTTTCAGGGATAAACCCAAGGCATCAACCATATGGTCGACTCCAACAGTGGCCTATCTACCATTATGGGGATACTAAAGACCAAGACATCCACATAAGTCCTGGGCACCTAACCCCCAGGTTGCCATCTACTCAGGCGTCCACATAAGTCCTGGGCACCTAAGCCTATGGCTGTTATCTTGGCAAAAGCCCTTGGTCCCACCTTGAGTAAACCGAAGGCATGAAGTTCAATTGTTCGAACGTCATCAAAATTAAAAAGACTCAGGAACTTTTACATGTTAGTCCTTGTCGACAAAAGACTCGGACATTCAGCCAGCACAAGGCACAATGTGAGCCAATCGACTTGGACCTTCAATACTCGGGTCAATGCCATATGGCTGACTCATCCCAATCAGACATCTAATTCCCTCAGTCAGAACAAAGCTATAAGTTAGCAAAATAAAGCAAGAAGCAAATAAAAGCAAACTCAAGAATAGGAGCAAAGCTAAATTTTATTCCAAAAAGGTATATTCCTTTACAAGTTATGTACAATATCCATGCCGATGTATTCATGAGAGGCATGTCTGCAAAAAAAAAACAACAAACAAAACAACAAAAAATAAAAAGAAAGTACAAGTACAAGCACTTATACCTCTCAACCAGATCCGGGAGTAGGACTAGGAAGACTCTCAATGGCAGTAGCGGAGTCTTTAGGGGCCTCGGCGGTGATAATCATATTTTTATTATAATTTTATACCATCATTATCTATTTTTCATGAATAAAAACACCACTAATAATTGTTTTTATCTTTAATTGTAGGTCAATAAAGAATAAAAATATATTATCTTATCTCTCAAC